CTCTTGGCAGGAGAGCTGTCCTCATTACATTTCACTGTGACACAGGATACCCTTGGTTTTCTGTCACCATGTGTCTTGCTGCTGTCTCTGACAAGCACCACATCATCTTTCCCTTCTCTGCCCCTTAGACAGCAGAGAGGTATACATACCCATTTATAGTTCTGAAGCTGTTTACGCTTTTTTTTAAGCTTAACTTTGCTATTCGTTTCAAGAATAAAACTTGACAGTTTTACACTGAGAGAAAAATTCTTGTTTTATTCTAAGGGGAGAATCTCAATACTCGAGATAAAGAAATTGGCACATTTTATTTTCTACACTCAACAGCAACACAATGGGAACAGTCTTGAATTTCAGATGCTATTGCTCAGACTGCACATTTCCTAAGAACTGAGGTGTGCACTGGCTCCTAACCATATTCACAACAGCAGAGTCTTGACTGTTTCTAAATGACCTGATTCCATTAACAGTCCTATTACACAGAAACTGCTCATTCTTGAACTTATTACAGGTCCACAGTCTCTCAATCACAAATCCTGAAACCCAAAAAGTCCCAAACCCCATTTTTTTCCCCTGAACTTAATGCCAAAAGTAATTTAGCAACATAACTGACCTGAACTGATGTAAAGCTATTTACAGTTTTATTTGATTCCACTTAGATATATTTTGCTGAAAAGTACCAATGTAGTAACTAGTGGTATGAATACATAATATATGTACCATATCATCTAAAATTTGAAATAGCCTGAATCCAAAGCACAGCGTGGGTTAACATAAACACCAGCACTGACCACTGAAACCCTAGTGTAACAACACCCCAGTAACAGTAAGTACACCTAGTGTCTGCATTCTAAATACCACCCTCTAACAAAAGAAACCAGGGCTCTCTGGAGGAGGAGTTGATTCCAGGGCAGGGACAGGGATAATACAAGAGCCTGCTGGTGCTAGGAAGGAAGGAAGTGCTCAAAACAAAAAGCTAGGATGGAGAATGCTGATGGGGCACAAGAATCCAACTGAAGGATTGTCCACAGCTGGAACAACTGGAGCAACAAAATAAATGGTGATAATATTAATCATAATCCAATATTGACTACAGCCTAAAGAATCAATACCGTTGAGGCCGGGCACGGTGGCTCACGCCTGTAATCCCAGCACTTTGGGAGGCCAAGGCGGGCGGATCACAAGGTCAGGAGATCGAGACCATCCTGGCTAATACGATGAAACTCCGTCTCTACTAAAAATACAAAAACAAAATTAGCCAGGCGTGGCAATGTGCGCCTGTAGTCCCAGCTACTCGGGAGTCTGAGGCAGAATGGTGTAAACCTGGGAGGCAGAGCTTGCAGTGAGCGGAGATCTCAAATCAGTATCATTGAATCCATACTGCATAACTGAATAAGTAAATGAGGGAGAAGAGACAGCTCTTCCCTACAAAATTCTAATAAATAAGTATACAAAAATAAGGGAAATGGAAAATCACCATTAGAACCCCACAGGCAAAAGCCCCCGCTGAGTGTTACGTGAGAGGAAAGCTTAAAGAGAAACAGGGCACTTGCACTGCAAGGCAAAGGGTTAACCCTGCCCAGAGAGGCCTGGCCTCTGGCCCCGGCTCCTGGGAGATCTCTAGGCCCTTGGAATGCCCTGTCTGGTAAGAATGTCTGTCTAACTGGGCGCACTGGGCCACTTCCACAGTCTGTGCTAACCCATGGTGGAGGCCTCAGGCACATAGCGCCAGCTCAGCCTCTGGAGGGCTGGAGAGTAAGGCCAGCAAGTCCACACAACTGAGACTCAACAAAACTCCAGATTTGTTGCGAGTCTCAGGTGGGCTTCCTTGGGGGGCAATGGTACCTGTGTGTGCTGTCACTTGCTGGGAGAAGTTGGCACTGTTCACACCTCCATGGGAGGACACTTGAAGTGTCACACTAGGAACTCTCATGAGCCCTGCCTGGGCCCCTTTTCCCTCAGCTGGCTTTAATTTGTGTCCTTTTGCTGCAATAAGCGTTAGCTGTGAGTACAACAGCTATCAGTCAGCTCCATGAGTCCTTCTAGAGAATTACCTAAGGGTGGTCTTGAGGACCCCCAAGCTTGCAGTTGGTATCAGAAGTGAAGATGGTCTTAGGGAGCCCCAAGCTCCACACACAGTCTCAAAGCATCCACTGCAAGATAGTTAATTACAAAAGGAAAACCAGGAAGTTGATGGTGAAGAAACCTAGCAGCTACCACCCTAACCAGGGATCCAGGTTTACATACCTGACATGTAGACAGCATAGCCCAGGGAGGATGTGTGGGGGAGGGCACCTCGCCCCCATCTCTAGCAACCCCAGCCCAGGTCTCATCTCCAGAAGATACCAGGCAGGCCCACAGGGAGGACAGTCCAAAGTGATAGGCCCACCCTCTTTGAAAGCACCATGACAAGGGAGGGCCAAGGCCCTCACCCAGACCAGAGGAGATGGGGAGGTGTGATAATTAAATGCACATGCGGCCTGGAACAGGGAAGGGCACTGGGGGAGCCTGGTCATATCCACATCAAGTCTGCCGTTCAGCTCCCAGGACTGCGGCCACAGGGGACTCTCAGCTGTGATAAATGCAGCATGAGTATGCAGGATGCTGTTTTGAGGGGAGGCGGGCATCCCCCCATGCTGGGGGGGGGCAGGGGTCTAAAACTACAGCAGACACACGGGCGCAGGAAGACAACGGTGCCCTGCAGGTTTTGGAAAAGAGACAGTGGCCTTCCTCCACTGGCTGAGGCACCCGGAGGGGCTTTTCAAGGATGTGGGTGGCGGTGGCAGCAGCCTCACCCTCACGACGACATTCTCCTGCTGCACTCACACAAGGAGACCTAGCAGGTGCCAGGTTTCAATTTCCCTTAGAAGTCTATGAAGTATTTAAACCAATGAGTGCATTAAAATACTCTGACCATCACTGTAGAATGCTAAGAAACTCAAACAGATTCAAACATCATTAACTGCACCTCAGGGTAAAAAAATGAGAAGCTGCTCTTTATAGACATGTCCCAGCTATAAGAAACAAAGAAATGACAGATTTAGAGTGCCACCGTTTAGAGTAACCCCTAAGGAATAAGTGGATCCAGTATCTGGTCACAATGGTCACCAGCAGTACAGATAGACAGCCCGCCAAAGGCTGGGGGCCTCCAGCGAGAACCCACTCCCACCTGCAGCAGAGTTTTATCAACCAACCAGATCTAACCACTAGACATAACTACTAATTTACAGAAAAAGAAAAAAAAGGAAGGAACGTGTTAAAATAGTGATGTGATCATTAAGGTCCAGACTGGCACATTCGAAAGAACAATCAGTTCCTTCAACAAAAACCAGACAAGAGATAGCAGAGAACCCTACAGCTGTCAAACAGAGTCAAGAGATGATGTATCAACCAGTAGTGACATATGAACCCCACTGGATTCTAATTCCAATAAACAGTTACACAAAACATTTGAGGCATCTGGGACAACTGAAAATTTGAACATTTGCTAGATACTGACATTAAGAAAATCCTGTTAATTTTTAAAGAATTGGCAACAGTAGGTGGCTATAATTTTTTTTAATGTCCTTACTTTTTTTTTTTTTTTTTGGAAATGGAGTCTTGTTTTCTGTCACCCAGGCTGGAATGCAGTGGTACAATCTCGGCTCACTGCCACCTCCACCTCCCAGGTTTGAGCAATTCTCCTGCCTCAGCCTCCCAAGTAGCTAGGATTACAGACATGCGCCACCACTCCCAGCTAATTTTTTTGTGTTTTTAGTAGAGACAGTGTTTTACCATGTTGGCCAGGCTGGTCTTGAACTCCTGACCTCAGGTGATCCACCGCCTCAGCCTCCCAAAGTGCTGGGATTACAGGTATGAGCCACCGCACCTGGCCAATATCCTTAACTTTTTAAAGATAATGCTGAAATATTTACAAAAACAGTAATGAAAACATCAAATCTCCTTTATAGATAGTACTCCAAAGCAATGTAAGAAATAGGACACGTGGTATATACTTGAATGTTTGTCTCTTTTTCCTTCAATATTATCTATCAGGTTCAATAAAGGCATCCGCTTTCCTTCATGAACTTTACTTGGTCTATGGTCAACTCTTTCTACAAATTTCACCACCACACTTCCTTCTATTATCTCTGCAAGTTCCATTCTGGTACTTCGTGAACCGTGGAGGTGTCTCTTCCTAAGTCACAATCCACACTGATGCATACAACATTATAGGGAAACACTGGCTTGAAGAAAACTGATTAACAGAAAATCGGCAATCGTTATTTATTTTAAATAAGAAGTCAGTCATGATACTATTAGGAATAGAGAGCAAGATATAAAATCGTATCAACCCTTTTAGATAAATACAAAGGACAAATGAAATACACAAAAAACAATACATTTTAAAAATCCACTGTTACTTTTTAGAAAAAGATTTAGCAGTTTCCATTAAGCACTACATCCCACTATTCCATTTTCAGGAAGGACAGATGCTTGAGGCCACATAGGTTACCAGCTCTTGTTTGGTCTTTAAAAATACAAATAAGTTGCTAACATTTTCAAATAAGATTTCAACAAAACTCTGACAATGCCACAGGACACACAGTTTGGCTCCATGTACATGTACCTGGGGACAGTGGCAGTCCCCAGGTCTCTGCCATGCCAAGATCAGGCCCCAAGGCCATTCAGCACCAGGCACAATCTCTGCTTTCCTGACACCTGGCCTGCTTTGCTTATTTACCTTAGTAGCCTTCCAGGTAACTGACACTGGTGTTTGAACCCTTAACTTTCACAAAGCTTGTTTAGGCAAATAAAATAGGTTCATACTGATGCTGGGAATTTTGTTACTGATTTTTTCCCTTAAGTTCAAATAAAACTAAGGAGTTGATAAAAAGGGTATTCTGAACAGAAAAGTAAAATCAAGAGCACAGAAACACCTGCTGTGTGTTTCTTCTGCCAGTAATAGTGACAGAGAACCCTCAGGCCCTCGCTCATCAGGGCTGCAGCACACACGGCCTCACCTGCATTGCTCCCCGCTCCTCTCTGCTTTTTTTCCTTGGCTAGTTGAATGGCTCGGTAATCAGTTCTTGCTGAGCCCCCACTTTCCTGAGACCAAAGAAAAGCGTATCAGTCACTTATCTAGACACAAAGGAAGGGTAGCAAGGGAGCTAGAGAAGTGCCATAAGCCTGCTTCTGGGACATATCCGAGCTCCCATAACCAGAGTCGCCAGCAAGGCACACAAAGGGCCAAATGCTACGTCCACTTGTGGCGAGGGCCAAACAAACTTGGAGCTCGAACAATGTATGTGACTTTCTTACCCAGAGAAGCAAAGTGTATTCCTCCAAAGTCTAAAACATAGTAAAATATTTTACACAGAAACTTTTTAAATCAATTACATACTTCTCTGCTTTCTGAAACAAACACTGAGCCTTGCCTGGGTGACCCAGGGTCACCTTACCATGGCACTCCGCGACACTTTTCACACTGTGCCACACACGTGTACGGCAGGCCCGGGACAGGTCCCACCTTAGAGACCCAAGGCAGAGGCCGCTCTGGTGGCAGGGGCTACACTCAAAGTCTTACGCAAAAACAATAATGATGGTACTGAATTCAGGAACTTTCCTGAGGGTGCCAGACAGTACTCAGAGGACTTCAGCTGTTGGAAGTCTATGAACATTTCCAAAGAAAGACAGTTTAACACTTATCACTACGAAGAGAAAAAGAGCAGCCCTCAAAGCTCGTAGCATACCTGGGACCCATTCACCACACACCATTTGTACTCAGAGAAGCGAGGTAGCCCAACGCCACACAGCTAGCAAGAAAACGAACACGGGTTAGGACCGAGGTCTTGCTGGCTTCTCCACCTCCACCCACAGCTATAGCTGCACCAGGAAGCTTCCATTTCCCAAGGCACCGAGGCACACAGTCCTTGCACCAGGGACTGACTGCACACTTGTCTCTAACTGTGGCCACCTCCCATCCCTGCCTAGTCACCTGTACACTTAGCAACTGCTATAGCTGCCTAAGCAAAGGCTGGCAAGCATAGCTCTGCCACCGACAAGCAAGACACCAGAAATGCAGAGACAGAGACCGTCCTCTCCCACTGAAAGAAATGAAAGCTGGCTCCATGGAGCCTCAGTTACTATGTGCCTCACAACTGATCCTACTTCAAAAGATTTAACATTTTTTAAAAGTTGTAAAATAAGAAAAAAAAATCTGAACAATATAAATGTCACCATCAAATTTAGCCTGTGCCACACACACACAAAAAAAACCCTATCTGACCATTTCCATCTGAGTCAGGAAAGTCAGACTATCTCCCAATAATCTTTAAATTATTTTAAATTAAATTATATTAAATGTATAATTGATATAAAGTATATTAACTGTTCAGCCTCAAAATTGGAGTACTCTTATAATCCTCCAAGAACTAAGGCTCATAAACCCCCTCCCTTTTTTTCTTTTCTTTTCTTGTTAATTCTAGTTCTACAAAAGAGTTTGGTATGGTTTTAAAGTTTCCATTGAACCTCTGAAGGTGGTTTATGTCTTGACTCCTCTTCTAGGGCTGGTCATGAGCTGAGAAGCATAGAGGCAAAGTATCTCAACATTACAAAACCCCCAATTTTCCAGGAAAGGAACACATTACCATGGAGCCACAGGACTCCAAAGGACCTCAGAAAGCATTTAGCCAAATCTCCTTATGTAGGAAATAAATGAGAATTTAAGGCTCAGATAGGTTAAGGTGATTTGTCAAGGTCATAAGAACTTGTCAGTTCCAGACTTGTAGTCCAGGGCTGCGTCCTTTTGTAAACCAGAAACGTCTGCATAGAAAGGATTAATCCAGAATATCCTCAAGACTGAGTATGAGAGAAGTGACCTATATGGTGGTGACTGAATAGATTGCTTCATACCAAATAGAAGTTGCCAGTGCCTGCACTGAGCTCTGTGTCCTGGGCACCGTGCTGCTCTGCTGGGCTGGACAATGTGGACTGGGGCAGCCCATGGCTTCCTTCCTGCTGCCCAACTGCTCCTGGGCGAGAAGGCGAGTCCGGCTCCACCTTGATTGGAGCCAGCAGTTCCGGGACACTGGCATTTTCTTGGGGGGTGCTTGAAGAGGTCGGTGTGCTGATGTGTGCTGCTAAGTTACTATTGGAGGTCAAAGCCAGTGGGTCGTCACTCAAGTTCTTCATGGGCAGAGCCACCAGACAGCCTAATGCTCCTGCACTCACAGTCTGCACGTCATCCACACTGAAGCTGCTCTGCTGCAGAACCGTGGCTGCTGTCCCGAGAACCAGAGGGCTGTCCAGGCTCGGGGGAATATCACTGTGGGCCACCAGGACCAGGGGTTCCATTGGCCCTAGGGAGCTATTACTAGCAGGGAGGTTCCCTCCCAGAGAGGAGCTCACAGAAGTGACGTCAATAGTCAGGATTCCGGAGTTCAGAGCCTCGTCCGACCCACCTGCAGAACCACTAGCATTGGCAGGTGTGTCAGAGAAGAGCGCAGCAAGATCCATGTTAGTGAGCTCACTTTGGCCTGGGCTGCTGAGTTCACTGCTAGGAGTAAGAGAACTCGGAGCTTCTAGCTGAGGTAAGAGATCTGAAAAAAAAAAGGAATACACTCTGGTTACTTTATGACCTTGAAGACTGAGTACTTTTGTTTATGCCCATGATGTTACCAAGTGATGCCCCAAGGAAGCACTGACTGTCCTCTTCCCAGACCCTGAAGCTTGGTTATCATGACAGAGTCCCACGGCCAGTCTCTCGGGGCACCTGACACACACCCCAGGAAGGGACAGGAAGGGATGCCGGCTGATATCAGACACTTTATGTATGCGTCTTGGATCCTCAGGCTGACAGGGCTTTCTCCAGTAGGAACAACTGGAGAGAGATTAAATAACATTTCCTAAGGTCAGGCCAACTGGTAACAGCAAGAAGCAAAGTAAGACTTGCATCCATGTCTTTCTGGCTTCAAAGCCTGCGCCCTCTCCCCTCCCGGTGCTACGGGAGCTGCCCGAGAGGACTGAACCCTTCCACGGCACATCATCCTCTGCTGCCAGTTGCTAGCTGGCCTGTGCTCTGAGGATATTTTCGAAATCAGCTTGTCAGCTTATGTTTGCCAAACTCTGTGCTCCACTCCACAACTAGCTGCCACCCCAAAACCGACTGGAGCCATATAGGGGTAAACAAAGGAAATGAAACTGGCTGCCTGGCAAAGCCAGGACAGACCCGAAGCTTCAGCTCTAGGCAGATGCACAGGACCTCTAGGCATGCTGGGGGCCCCCTAGACAGAGCTGTTCCTGATGGGCTTTCCCTCCCAGAGCCTCCCCTACCACTGCACTTCCAGCCTCACATTTTCCCACCAGGACTGCAAGCCTCCTGAGGGTGGAGAGCCGTCTGACCACCACTGTCCCCTCAGCTCCCAGCACAGTGCCCAGCCCTGATGCAGCATGTAATGATTCTAACAGGCCCTTCTTCATCTGGAGTCTTAATTTTTGGTCAAAATACTCTTTAAATATTTGATTATTTGTTATTCTATGACTATGAAATTTAAATAATCAGCATACCTTTGGGAGAATAATGACTTCCAAAAAATTTCAATGCATAGGCAAGTTTTGGGTTTGTATACAAGTACATGCCAGTTATACCAAATCACAGGATGCTTCAAGCATCAAGCAAATGGTAAAATGGGAGAATAATTAATTTGGGCAAAAGAGCCAAATAAGGACTTGATGTCACCCTTTCCTGAGGACTGTCCCCAGCAGCTTCCTGACTGTGCCAGCGCCTGGCCCAGAGGAAAACCTGCTCTCAGTTCTCTGATCCTATTTCTCCCACGCCAGCTGTTACTGACCCCAAACTCATACCTGCAGGCTGTGAACACCTGGCCAGAGTGTCTATTATATTTTATATTTTTAATAATGCAAATCTACAAAAATCTATTCTAGACAAAAAGCAAATCAAATTCAGAATGTATCGTCTTTAGTTGTCGTATTACTTCAAAGTTTAAAAAAAAGCATCAATATAGCATCACTTCTTCAATAAATATCCCTTAGTACCAATGAAGCATTTTGAAAGAAAATAGTAGTGATCCTTTGGCGAAATTAAAAATGGAAAACTATGTCAGTTTTTCAAAACTTTCTAAAAACTCCCTTGACTCTCTTGAGGACTCAGCTCCCTGTGAAGAGACCATGAATAATCTCAGTGCAAATGATACCCATTTATTAATAAATTTCCTTATTTAGCACTTTACTAATTCTATAAACATTTACTACTAGAGAGACCAGACATGTACAAGGGCCAGATATTAACACAATCACTAAATAAACATTAGTAAGCAGAGCATCTGGCAAAACAGTCATGATCACCACAGTTCAAAGCCCAGCCCCAGCCCTTCTTGCGGGTGTGACCCTGGCAAGTACTTTCTATCTTGGTTTCACCAGTGAGGACTCCACTCCCAGGACCACCGTTAGGGGGACTGAAACAACCCACTGAGGACATGACATAATCCCACAGTAACCAGGTGTTCTAGTGCCCGTTTTTCACTAGGAGAAATGGTGACACCTGGTCTTCTACCCCACAGCTGGAAGGGGGATGACACACAAATAAGTCATTGTTGCACAAGAAATTCAAGCCTGGGATACACAAGCTGCTGCAGAAGAGGGTCTCACATCCCACTAGAGTTTAAGGAAAGTGCATCTGGTATAACACTGGGCTTCTGCTGACTTCTGAATTGGCCAGGTCAGGAAAGGGGAAGTGTGCCATGAGAGGGAACGGTGGAACAGGGGAGAGGCCTGAGTGATGTAGTCTCATAGAGCCATCAGAGAAAGGGGGCCTGGTCATGTGGGCCTCTGTGAGCAAAGATGACACCCTCCAACATGAATCAGGTGGCACACACATTCCCTGTCCTCAAGACACTACTGAAGGAAGAAGGACAATTTATTTAAATATAAAGCTGAATGGCAACTGCTGTAAACTGTGAAAGATCAGTGTCCAAGATCCCAAGGAGGGGCTTCATGACCACTTCCAAATAGGACCACAAGAAAGCAAAGGCCACAGACCTGCCCTGAGCCCAACCCCTCATCAAACTCTGTGCGAGGCATGGAGGCCTGTCCCCTGCCAATGCGGCAGCTGTGACACAGCTGCGCCTCAAGGCCAGTGCTCTCCTGTGGTGCTGCTGGTCACACAATCCACAGGAGGACCCAGTTGGTGACACACACAGCTTCCACGGACTGAGCAGCAGAAGTAACTCTAGGGCTAGCTAGGATGCCATCAGCCAGGCCCAGTGAGGAGCGATAACCGCACCAGGCCCCAGAGAGCAGGGCACATGTGCGTGCTCCTCAGAGGGGCCGCTACCACAGCTGCCAGGCACTTCTGCATCCTGCACTGTGGAGAAGGCCTAGTGGGATAGGTTTCCTAGTCCCATGCTGCAAAGCTGCCCAGTGACCAGGCACTCACATACTCAGCATTCCCCTTACAGGTCACCCAGCCACTGTCACTTTCCCCTCTAACCCTGCCCTCTCCAGCCCTCACTGCTCCCAGTCCACTCCTGAAACACAACTCTGCTCTGGCCTTTGTTACTTGGAGAGAGAATAGCTGAGGCAGACGGAAACGCAGGAGGGGCAGGTCCAGAATTCAGGACAAAAGTCCCAGTAAGAGACACAGGCTTAGAAGACATATGCTAGGGAAAGTCAACAAAGTGAAACATTCTTCCAGGAAAGCATTTCAAAGACACGGGAGGGGCCAGGCATGGTGGCTCATGCCTGTAATTCCAGCACTTTGGGAGGCTGAGGTGGGCAGACTGCTTGAGCCCAGTAGTTCAAAACCAGCCTGAGCAACATAGTAAAACCCTGTCTCTATAAAAAATGCAAAAATTAGCTGGGCATGGTGGTGCATGCCTGTGGGCTCAGCTACTCTGGAGATTGAGGTGGGAGGATCACTTGAGCAGGACCCTGAGGTTCCAGTGAGCCATGATCACACCACTGCACTCCAGCCTGGGTGACAGAGGGACCCTGTCTCAAAAAACAAAAGACATGGGAGGGATTAGAGGGCCAAAAGCAAGAAAAGTGGCAGAGAAAGTGCAAAAGAGGCCACTTGGCTTGGCAACCATGGCCACAACCCCACTGCCCGACGACTTCCAAGAGGTGAAGAAGGAACAGACGGCACTGGCACTATTCCTGTTTCTTGCAGGGAAGCAGCTCCCCACGGGGGCCGTGGAAAGTGCAGACCTTGGCGCCGGCTGTGCTGTCTGACCATGTGTGCCTTCATGCTGTGCTTGGAGGTGAAGAGTCTGTTGCAGGTAGAGACCGGGCAACGGCTTTTCGGAGCACCCACATCCTGCACGTGTTTCTTAGAGTGAATGTACAGACTGCTACGAGCGGAGAACCTTGCGCAACATCCTGGAACAAAAAGAGTAATGAGTGTGAAACCTGAGGATCACCAAGGAACCAGGAACAAGTGACACTTCCTCATCAGATCAGAACCACCAGACCTGCATTTTGCACCCTGGCTACTGGCAAGGACAGAAACCAAATATCTCTAGGAGTAGCATCACAAGCAATTCAAGTCAAAAGCAAACTTTTTAAAAAGCAAGAGATACAGTGAAACCCGTAGGGAGATTTGAAGTCCTACCTCAGCTATGTCTAAGCAACCTCTGTGCCTGCTTCTTCACCCACTACATGGAGATGTTGGGAAGATTAAGTCAAATTAAGTATTAACTGCTTAAACATTCAGTTGCAAACAATTTATTCTAGTCATCTTGATTAAGCTATTACCATAAAAAATGTAATCCTAGGATGACATTTAGAGCTGGAAACTATCTCGACAGATCACCAAAGCCAGTCCTTTCACTTTCCCACTGAGACACTGGATGCCCAGGGAGACTGAGCGGGTGTCCTGGAGCCCAGAGCTGGCATCTCCTTGCTTACACTCCCAATCCACTTATGACTCTGATCTGCACACAGGCATCAGAGGAAAAACAAGACACATTCAAAGTTATAGTCACCTCCCCTCCGTGCCCTGGCTTTCCACTACGCTGGCGCTCTGCCCCATACGGGTGCAGGGAGAAGACGTGGAGCTCTTGGCGGCCAGAGACCTGCACCCAGCAGCGGCAAGTAGAATAGCCAGCTGCTTCAATAAAAGGCAGTAAGTCAGTGCCAACACTGAAGCATGCGAGCGGCAGAGGAAACCGCACACCTCCCAAGAAGGCAGAAAAGTGGTCTCAGGAGTATACAGCATTTGAGGTGACTGGGCCACTGTGCAGCAAAGCAGATGGTGCTCCTGCCGCAAAAGCTGCCCAGCCAAGGTATAGGGGCATGAAGGGCAGCTGTGCAGGCACCCCAGCCTGGGTTCCAGTTCAACCTCTTACCAACAGTGTGGCCTTAGACAAATTATTTATCCTTTGCGGGTCTCCTTTTTCTGTTCTGTGAAATGGGAATGACACCTGCTTCTCAGGGGTGCTGAGGGCCCAATAAAGCCATACCTGTCTACAGAGCCTCTGCACGGACCTAAGCAAGTGGAGCGAGCAACGACGCACTCGCAGCACCTTCTCAGGATGGTGGGGCGGTACTGCTGGAGCCCAGCACCTGGAGGAGGGATATTTTAAGGAAAGAGGCTATGAAGATAGGATACGGCCAGATGAGTAAGGGCCTTGGCTGCCCGTGAATGTAGTTTTCAACTACATTTTTCATTTTCTAATACAGCTGCAAACTCATTTCCAGGTCAGGCTCATCAAAGACCATCTGGGAAACACAGGAGATGGTCCGACGGCCCAGGCTTGCCCTGCAAATGCACAGTTTCCTCCGCATGCCCTGCTCACCATGGTACACAGGGTACCCTGGAACCCCCTTTCCCAGCTGGGGGTCCTGAGCACGGATTTCTAGAGACAGGTCACAGAGCAGAGGCTCTAAGCACATCTTCTGTAAAATGCCTTCCCAATGGCAGGGCCACGCTACAACAGGACCCTTGCACACTCTTGCCAGCACTGGGTTTCCATTTTTTAAAGTATTTGCTAATTCCATAGGCAAAAATTATTTCATTTTGGTTTGTATTTCCTGTGACAACCAGGAATGTAATCATTTCTCCATGTGTACTAACTGCTGGCTTTTCCAAATTCTGCTCATATATTGAGATCTGTGTCCATTCTTTACAAATCCAAGCTGCAACCAGGGAGAGGCAGAAGCAGCCATTACTGATAGACCTGTCTGCAAGCTGCACTCAGAGGACAGTGAGGCGCTCATGCGGATGGCCAGGCAAGCACGAGGCTCAGCAACACACGAGACACAGGCCCCAGCAACACACAGCCCCGAGGCTGTCATGATGCCACCCAGTGCCTGCCCTCAGACAGACTTCTGGTCTGTGGTCCTGTCCTTTCCTCCTCCTCCTGTTACTATAAAAAAGGTAGTTTTGCCTTTTACTTTTTATTATACAACAGTTCAAACATCTACCAAAGTGGAAAAAATGGTATCATCAGTCCCAACTATTGCCCAACCCCAAGAATGATCAACTCTCAGTCCAGCTGAGAAGAGGTTCTGGGCTCCTCCCACTAGCTCCAACTCCATCTCCACATGCTGCCCACACCACGTGGGGAGTGCCCCCTTTCTCTCCCAGCAGAACACCTAGACTTGCTGGAAGAAACAGAGCTCTACAGAAATAAATGCCCCATCCTCCACAGCCAACTCCCACCTTTCCCCTTTCCCCAGTCACCTCTGGTGGAAGTGTCAGCACAAACCATCCCCGTCTCCCACTCAGGCCACCTCTCAGGGCATCAGAGCAGGACTCTGCCTGAGTGACCCCACGGAACCTCATCCATCAACACACCAAGACAACCCCGCAGGTGGCACTGAGGCATGTCTTCCCTGGTCCTGGCTCACCCTAGCACTCAAGGTGACCCCCACTTCCACACATCACACATCACCTCTCACCTCAGCACCACCCCCTCTGTGCTCTTGCTGGTCCTGCCAGTACCCGTCCCAGCCACCCCACTGGAATCGGGGGCAGCCCCAGGGCTCTGTCCTAGGTCCTTTTTAAGAAAATCTAACAGCAATCATAACAACAGTAAACTGACATACGTACTGATGTTTTCCATATGCTCTAAACTTACTAACCAATCCAGCCTTCGCCAACAACCCTGGGAGGTTTTATTCACTTTACAGACAAGGAAGAGGCACAGAGAGCTTCAAGTGTTTGTCCAAGGTCCCAGAGCTACTTACGAGACAGACTTGGGACTCGAATCCAGGCAGTGTGACTCCAGAATTCAGGTTTTTGATCAACTACACTACCCTGCCTCTCCTCCATTTATACTCTTCCTTGAGAATTTCATCCACTTTTGTGGCTTAAATGACGACTTGGGTGCTGTCTGCTTCGCTCCCTGCCTGGTCTACTCTCCTCAGCGCCAGCAGCACATCCCCTGCCCTTTGTGCATTAGATGCACAAAGGTACCAAAAACACAACATGTCCAAACCAAACTGTTTCCTCCAAATCCACTCAGCTGAGACACTGACCTCAACTAAAATCCAAATCCATCACCGTATATTGCGACTTCTAACTCCCACCTCTGCCATCGATGCCGCTTTCTCTTTTCCCACCATTAACGCCCCCTTCCAGGCCATCCCACCTCCCCACACCCTTGGCTGCTTTCCTTCCTGAAGTCAGACTGAGCCACAACTCAAACATGATCACATCATACGCTCACCCAAACACTCAAGCCTACCACTCGTGGCCCTGAGAGGCTCTCCCAGGCCATTCCACCCCCAACACCCACACGCACATGTCTGGTGCGCTTTCCCCTTCTTCAGCTGACTGTGAGGCCATTCTCACCCCGAAGAGCAGTCTGGGGAAACCCTCTGTGTCCCTGCAGCACCCTACATGTTACCTGTTCCCCTGTCTGCACCTCCAGCTGAAACCCTGATGGAAGAAGGAACTGCATATACGTTCACTTGTATATATGTTCACTATGTTCTAAGAGCTAGTCTCAGCTTTAAATGGGTCTTTAATATTCTCTCTTTCAGATAAGGAAACCAAGGCCCAAAGAAGCAGCTTGCCTGAGGTCACCACTTTAGGGAGCAGTAGAGCCAGACTTTGAATCCATGACCACCCGACATGCCCTGGCTCACTGCCTCCCAGTGCACCTGCAGAACTAGAGTAGGGCCAGCACGCACAGGTCACATAGCCAATTTCTGGCAAATGAACTAAGGCTTCAGTGTTTTAAAGGAAGAAACCTCTCTACTATCCCTTTTAAAAAGTCAGGTTGGGTGCGGTGGCTCACACCTGTAATCCCAGCACTTTGGGAGGCCAAAGTGGGTGGATCACTTGAGGTTAGGAGTCTGAGACCAGCCTGGCCAACATGGTGAAACTCTGTCTCTACCAAAAACATAAAAATCAGCCAAGCGTGGTGGCGCACGCCTGTAGTCCTAGCTACTCAGGAGGCTGAGGCATGAGAATCACTTAAACCTGGGAAGCAGAGGTTGCAATGAGCCAAGATTGCGCCATTGCACTATAGCCTGGGCGACAAAGCAAGACTCTGTCTCAAAAATTAAAACAAACAAAAAAAAGTCAGTCTAGCTTTATTGCTATGCAATTACAAAATGATTGGAGCGACCATTCAAACGTGATCTCAAAAGTACCTACAATTTACTGAGTCCGAGCTCCACGCCAGATGGATAAACAGGCATTTTCCACGTTTCACCTAATCCTCATGACCACCAAATTAAACAGGTAACTTAACTAGAGCCACAGATCTAGTGAGGATCAGGGCCATGAGTCAAACCATGTCTGATTCTCAAGTCACTACTCCCAAAATAGTACAATTAAATCAATGAGGTAACTAAACATAACGCCACAACTTATATTGAGTCAGTCTTTAAGCAGCTAACATTTACCTTCAAACAATGGAAACTTAACAAGATAAATGTTGGCCTGGTACTTAGTTTACTGCTCAAAGCAATGTTTTAAAATCTACCTTCCACAGGACACTCGAATGGCTTTGTGCCTAGGTGGGTTATGCTGTGGCCTTTCAGATGCTCTGCTCTCGTGAACGATTTCCCACAGCCTTCGACAGGGCAGGTAAACCTCCGGTCATCATCATGTTTCCTGCCAGACAGAAAAATAAAGGAGCTGTGATTCCTCATACAACTCACCGTGATTCTTTGTTTAAAATTCTACAAAATATACCAAAATACAAACTTTACATTTACAAAAATCAGTAGTACATTTCAGAAAATCTTTACTCTGTCTTTAATCCATGTGAGAAGATTTGCAATTTAGCTACCCCATAGTTAAAAATTCTACCTTAATGACTAAGCAGATCCCAGAGTCACACATTGAACAATTAATGCTATTTCAATTTAAGAACAGTGGAGTCCCAAATGTATTGATGAAGGTGTTTCTATTGTTTAGAAACCCTCATGATCAACAAGCTTTCCGAGCGACAGAGGACCATGAGAAATGTGCACAGAGCATCAGCTGCAATGCTAAAAGACTCTCTTAAGCCAACTTGTAAAGACTGTGTCTTTTCCTAAGTGACATTTTTATATTAAATCCTCAGAGCCCAGTTGTGCAAGCACAGAAAAACCATCGAATCTCTCCGAGTCTCACTGTAAAACAAGGAGAATAAGAACTTTAGCTTTGAGGTTGTTGTGAAGATAGAAGACACACATGTAAAGTGCTGAGCATCACCTGGACAGTCTCCAGGGTTGTCATTACCACCACGAAAACTTGTAATTACATGAAGAAAGCTTATTCTACATTTTTTTTTTTTTCAAAACTGGAATTTTTTTTTTAAAAGAACAGAGTATACCAATTAAGTTTTTTTTTTTTTAATTATATACAGGGCCGGGTGTGGTGGCTCACGCCTGTAATCCCAGCACTTTGGGAGGCTGAGGTGGGCGGATCACAAGGTTAGGAGATCGAGACCAACCTGACTAACTCGGTGAAACCCCGTCTCTACTAAAAATACAAAAAAAAATTGGCCAGGGTGGCATGCGCCTGTAGTCCCAGCTACTCGGAAGGCTGAGGCAGGAGAATGGCGTGAACCCGGGAGGCGGAGCTTGCAGTGAGCCGAGATCGTGCCACTGCACTCCAGCCTGGGCGACAGAGTGACTGTCTCAATTTTTTTTTAAAAAGTACACACAGAAAAAAGTATTTTCAGGTGATGAGATTCTCAGCAATTTTTTTTTACAGTTTTCTGAATTTTCCAAATTATCAACACTGAGCTATTTTTACAACTTAAAAAACGTCTACAGATATTTCATTCGTTAGTTTCTGCTGCTGACAAATCACTCATTTTCAAAGCTGATAATGCAAACCAAAATGTAAGGATTACCTTCTGTGCCTTAGAAGTTTGGACATGCTGGTGAAGGTCCAGCCACAACTGTCAGAGTCACAAATAAATGGTCTTTCACCTTGTAAAAGAAAAAAAGTACACAGCATAAAATTTACAACTCCAACAGCTACGATGAAGACAAATCTTGGGTCCAAATGCTTTGCGTTCCCTAGCTCATTACCTGTATGGCTCCGCAGGTGAATTTTCAGCCGACAGGCTTTATCATACTGCTTGCTGCACCCAGGAAAGGAGCAGGAAAAGAGCTCTTGTTCCCTGAAGTGGGCTCGGTTATGGGAAAACAGGGCACTCACCGTGATAAATGTCTTCTCACAGCCTGAACAAGGAAAACACAAACCCTGCTCAAAGTGTGGCAAAAATTATACAACATAGCTAATGCTAGTCACACCCACCGGACACTGTTCACCCTGAAGCAGACAAGGAAAAACATGACTCACAAGCACTCTCTAAAAAGGGATGACCATTAATGCTTGTTGGCTTTGTGATCACCACAAGAAGGCAGCTAATGGCAGCCAATAGGCACACGCTGGCCACCTGTTGCAACACGACTTGGAGATGGAACAACTGATAAAGAGAAAGTTCTCTGTTCAAAGCCATCTACTGGCCAGTTCCAGAGTACTGATCCTGAACACAGGCTGAGACCCAAGAACCCCATGAGAGAAATCAAATACTAAGGAACAAGACTTTGTCTGGCAGGGTTGATCTTTGAAAGGTTACAAATCATTCTACTGGCCAGGATTTTCACCCCTTGGGGGTGATGCTGCATCCTCTACACATCCAAATTTCCTCCCTGACACCCTCTAACTGCCAGCCCTGTCCCTTGCTATTTGGCTTCTTTTTCCTTTTGCCATTTCCTTAGGTTCTCTGCTTTGTAATCTTCACCTCCATCCTAACCCCCGGCCAAAGCAGCCAAGCCTTAACAATTCCACAGCAATGCTTCTCCTCCAACAGAAACATTCAGGGCTCCAACAGGGTGGAAAATATGAGGCTGCAGGATGTTTAACACGGGTCTTTGCCGCAGCTCTTCTTGGAGACTTTAACAAGATACCATCATGCCTGTGAACTGCCACACAGATGCACATAGCATAGCACTGCCCAAAAGTATCAACCCAAGGAACCCTACTTTCCCCAGCAACACCTAACCAGGAAATGCTGATCTTTGGCCTCGATCTGGTCCCAAAATACCCCCAAGAACCCCCAACAACCCCATAGATAATTACACCCTTTGGTTCTCCCTCTGCAATCTCACCTGCTAGAGACCCTCATCATTCCCACTCCCTGGCTCAGGCCCTCAGGAAATTCAGGTCTGGGCCCTTTGATGATGCTTCACTGGTACTGCTCCTGCTTTTAACCATCTAATCTCATCTCAACACAAGAAGCCTCATGGATCAGCCAACACAAAACCCTCAAGGGACCTCATGCCTGGAAGCAGGCAGGATCCCTAACCTTCCTAGCACCATACACAGAATGAAACTTTTTTAGCAGGGAGAGGGTCTACAGCCACCACCAGATTCCCAAGAATGTATGACTAAAAAAGGCTTTGAGCTAGTGGCCTCAAGCCACATTCTCTCTGAAGAGCAATGCGCAAGACAGTCCACGGGCATATGTGAGAGAAAAAATAATAAAACCCGTTCATAATTATCATCTCATCCTTTCAAAATTCTTGTTTGAAAACATTATAAGGAGAGCCGTGTGCATATACAGGTTAAGGGCATGCTAGGCACACATTCCAGTTTGGTTTGAATGACTGGTCCTTCTTCCTGGGCCCTCACCACAGCCCACAATCCCCACCTGGGCTCTGCCATCCAGCCGACCCCATTCTTCTGCCTTTCCAGGCAGGAATCCTCTCTTGCCCTTCTGGAGGAACCCCGTCCCTGTGAAAGCAGGGAAAGCTGCCCATCCTGGTGAAGAATTAACTGTGTTGGAGTCCTACTTTTTTTACAACTGCAGGTCCACACAGTGGAGACAGCGGAGAAATAACCAGCAGTGGACTTTTTTTGTTTTTGTTTTTGAGACAGTCTGGCTGTGTCGCCCAGGCTGGAGTGCAGTGGCGAGATCTAGGCTCACTGCAAGCTCCCTCTCTGGGGTTCATGCCATTCTCCTGCCTCAGCCTCCCGAGTAGCTGGGACTACAGGCGCCTGCTACCACGCCCGGCTAATTTTTTGTGCTTTTAATAGAGACGGGGTTTCACCGTGTTAGCCAGAATGGTCTCGATCTCCTGACCTTGTGATCCACCCGCCTCGGCCTCCCAAAGTGCTGGGATTACAGGCGTGAGCCACAGCGCCCGGCCACCAGCAGTGGACTTTATCCACGAGGCTCGGCCTTTGTTTCTTCATGTGTAAAATGAGGACAGTTTTTAACCTTCACAGGCGGCTAATTTTTAAAACTTCACAAAACTGTGAGGTTCAACGGAAATAAAAGCATAAAAGGCAAAAAAGCCAGGATGTGCGCACACCTGTGGCTATCCTCCCAGCGTGTTAAGGTCCTGAATCTGGCCACATTCATCTCTGCTCCTCCAGCACGGAGTGTGCACCCCATAAATAAATGACGAGACTGAGGAAAATAAAGACCTGACACACAGCTCCGTGCCACTCTGTGAAGATGCGCTGCCGCTTTCATCAAGCGCAAGCAGGTTAAGGGTATCTGTTGCCGCCGCCTTTGGGAAGCGCAGCTGTGGTGATCTGCGCTACCTGCCATCGAAATCCCTGCGGCAAGGCAGGGCCAAGATCTCAAATCGAATGACATGGAAGGAGCTAGAACACAAATCCCGAAGAGCCTGCGTCCCCGGCTTGCTAAGGTCTGGCAGGCCCCTCTGTGGGACGGACGTGGCACCCGGGGCCTGCCTGCAACACCGCGCAGCCCGCCCGCCCCCGAGCGCGCGGTTACCGGGAAAGTCACACTTGTAAGGGCGCTCGGGCTCGAAGTGGCTGCGCTGGTGGGAGCTGAGCTTGGCGTGCGTGGGGAAGCGCTCGGCGCACACCTCGCACTTGAACAGGCTCTCCTGCTCGTGGCCCTTCATGTGCGCCTTGAGGTTATAGACCGTAGTGAACTTCTTGCCACAGCCGCCCACCGGACAGCCGAAGGGCCGCAGCTTGTCGTGCGACTGCAGGTGCCGCTTAAGCTTGTAGGACGTTGTGAAGGCCCAGCCGCAGCCCTCCAGCGGGCACTTGAAGGGCCGCCGGCCTTGACCGCCGCCGTGCGTGAGCAGGTGCACCTTGAGCTGGTGCTTCTTGGCGAAGGCCAGCGCGCACTGCGGCTCGGGGCAGCGGTAGCTGGGCGTGCTGGGGCCGGAGGCCTGGGGCGCGCGACGGGGCGCGGCGGTGCCCGCGCTTGCGGGGCCGGGCGGCGCAGACAGCGCGAGGACGCCTCGGTCGAGGCGCACCAGCAGATCCTGGCTGCTGATGGTGACGGCGCCCGCCGGGGCTACGCCAGGGCCGGGGGCGACGGCCGGGCCGCTGGGGCCCTGCTCCGGGCGGCTCGCCGGGTTGGCACGGGAGCCAGGCTCGGCCTCCTGTGATCCGGCAGCCTCGGCGACGGCGCCGCCGTGCGGCACTTCCAGCAGCACCAAGAACGAGTCGCCGTCGCTGTCGTCCTCGGCGGGCGGCGGGCTCGGCCCGGAGGCCTCCCCGGGCCGCGCCCCGGGCCCGCCATCTTCGGGGCCCCGCACCAATAGCAGGCGGCGGCGCGCGGGGCTCGGGCCGGGCGGCGCCGGAGCTCGGCGGAGCGGGCCGGGGCCGCCGCCATGTTGCCCTCCGCGCGCGGTCGGGGCGGGGAGCAGCGCCGGGAGGTCCATCTTGGGCCCAGCGACGGCGTCGGAGCCGCTTCGGACGCAGCGCGGCCCGCGCCCCGCCCAAGTGTGCGTGCACTGCCCCGGGACGCAATCCGCGCCAAGACCCGTCGTAGAGTCCGGCTCGGAACCGCGCGTGCGCGGACGCCGCCGGGCGATGCGCGAGGCCTGCTGGGCCGACGTGACGTGGGGCGGGGCTGCGGGGGCGCCAGGGGCGGGGGCGGGGCGCCGGGACCGACTAGGGCGGGGCGCGGGGTCGGGGGGCGGAGCGCCGGCCCCGTAAAGGGCGGAGGGCGGGGCGCGGGACAGCCGGGGACTGGGTGAGGCTCCGAAAGCTGAGTGAGCGCTTCCCTCTTGTTCCCGCTGGCATGGGAGTCGAAGCTTGTCTGACTTCGAGTCATATTAGTATTTCAGACACTTCACAAGCAGCCTCTCGTAAGCACTGACCGCGTCCCAGGGGCTGTGCCTGTCTGAGCTGATTAAGCGTGCGCGGTCACCCAGGGGTGAGGAAACAGGTACGGAGAGCTTGAGTCACACACACAGTTGGCAGCCGGCAGATTCAGGATTCGAACCTGTCCAACAAGCTGGATGCCTACCCCCAGCTCACTTAAGTGCAAGCCCGCCCGCCGCCGCTGGCGCACAGACCTCGTTTGTTTTGGCCCAGGTCCTTGCTGGGCACACGGGGCCTCCCTGATAGGTAGGACCCCTGTCTGTATTTCCAACTGTATTTCCTACTAAACTTGACACAACCTCACTCTGCAACAGCTGAATTACTTACTGTTTCCGTTCCTTGCCCTCTCCCACCTCACCGTGCACCTCCACATTCAATCTGGACTCCTCCACTTCAACCTCACCACCACTCAGATCCAAACCCGCACTTTATTCCTGGGTACTTGAAAAATAACTACTAGCTGGTCATCGGTCTCCCTCCGCTCCCCTGGCTCCCGTCCATGGGGCACGGTTTTATGATCTAAAAATTGCACATCAAATTATGCTCACCCCCACCTTACTCCCGAAGGCGCCTATGGCCTTGCTAGTCTACCCTCCCCGACCTGTTTCCCTCACTTCCCGCCACTCTCCCGCTGCCCCCCACCCTTCCCCCGCACCCCACCTCTTTTTCCCAGTTCATCCAGCAGGCCAAGCTGGTTCCAGCCTCAGAGACTTGGCGCAGCTGATTCTGATTCCTCCGGGAGGACTCTGCGGCCCTTCTGATCCAAAGCACATGCTTACCCAGTCCCGTATTCCCACCTCTGTCTGATCTGTTTGCTCTTAGAGCTCTCATCACCCGCTGTTTAGAGCTCTCATCACCCGCTGTTTTGTGTGTTCCTTCCCTGCTCCTTCACTGCCTCTCTCCCTCTGGAATGTAGTCTGCTGGAGCCCAGGAACTGTGTCCTATTCACGGTGTGTGCCCAGGAAGACTGTTGATGCATATTTATTAAATACATGAATGCTTTATTATTAAGAGTATTTTTTAGAAGCAACACAAATTATAACATTAAAAAGAATAGGATACATCCATTAAATATATCAGTTTATGCCAAAAGCATATTGTTCCTAGACCATTCAGTGGAGGAAAGAATAGTCATTTCAACAATGGCGGCACTGGGACAACTGGATCTCCACATGCAAAAGAACCAATTTGGACCTGTATCTCTCATCAGAGGCAAAAATTAACTCAAAATAGAGCAAAAGCCTACATGTAAAGCATAAAACTATTTGAAGAAAAATAGGTGTAAATCTATGTGACCCTGTATTAGGGAATAGTTTCTTAGATATAATATTGAAAGCATAAGAAAGAAAAATAGATAACTTGGACTTCATCAAAATTAAAAACTTACTCAGGTAAAAGGACACCAATAAAACAGTGAAAAGACAACTCAGAATGGGAGAAGAGTGTGCAAATCGTGTATCTGATAAGGATCTACTATCTGGAATATATAAAGAACTCTTTTAACAAGGAGACAAATAGTCCACTTTTTTAAAAGGCAAAGGTTTGAATAGACACATTTCTCCAAAGAAGATAATACAAACAGCCGATAAGCAAATAAAAAGAGGCTCAACATCATGAATCATTAGGGAAATGCAAATCAAAACACAGTGAGATACAACTTCACACCTACTAAAATAGCGGTAATTTTTTAAAAAACAGGATATAGAAAAATTGGAACCCTCACATATTGCTGGTGGGAATGTATAATGGTGCGGTGTGGAAAACAGTTTGGCAGTTCTGCAGAAAGCTAAACATAATCTCCACATGAGCCAGCAAGCCCATCCCTGTGTTGCTGAGGCTGAAGTGTGGTGGCTTTTCACAGGTGCAGTCATAACTCAGCCTCCAATTGGCCTCAAGCAGTCCTTCCAGGTCAGCCTCCCAATTAACTGGACTACAGGCATATGCCATCATGCCCAACTTGAAGAAAAAGAAATATTTTAAAATAAATGTAGTGTAGCCTAAGTGTCCGGTGTCTATAAAGTCTACGGTAGTGCAGTCATGCCCGAGGCCTTCACATTCACTCACCACTCACTCAGTGACTCACTCAGAGCACTTCCCAGTCCTGCAAGCTCCTTTCATGGTAAGTGCCCTATACGGTTGTACCATTTCTTTATATTTTATGTAAATAGCTTATTTTTACTGTACCTTTTCTATATTTATCTATGTTTAGAGACACAACACTTACTGTTGTGTTACAGTTACCTGGCATATTTAGCATGGTACCATGCTGTGCAGGTGTATAGCCTAGGAGCAGTAGGCTATCCCACATAGCCTAGGTGTGTAGTAGGCTGTGCCATCTAGGTTTGTGAAAGGATACTCTATGACATGCATACGATGATGGAATCATCAATTAATGCATTTCTCAGAAAGTATTCATTAAGTGCTCATTAAGAGATTCCTTACTGTATATTTATATTAAGTATAATCAAATTTGATTTACATGGATAAAAAAATCAAATTTTAGAGTTCAGTTCCTCTCTGTGTCAAATACTATGTCAAATACTGAACACACTGTGTACAGCCTGCAGTTACCACACTGGACAGTGCAGACCGCCAATGGGTCTGTCACTGCTGTAAGGCAGGGTCTGGAGGCTGCTGCTGTCCTGGTCTTTCACACAGCTCACCACGTGCCCCAGCATGACAGCTGGCCTCTCAGAGGGTATGTTGCTAGAACTCCAGCAGCCCTCTCTTAGGACCCAGACCCAGACGTTGCACAGCATTGATTATGCCACATTCTCGTGATCAAAGTAAGGCATAAGACATTGCAGACCCAGGCAAGGGGAATTTGTACTCCACCTCTCAATGGGAGGTACTGGAAATAATTTGCAGCCATCTTTAAACTATCACAACTCTGTGCCTCAGTTTCCTCATCTGTAAAATGAAGAGGACTGAGAAAGAAAAAGGGCAGCCCCTGCCATCCAGAAACTGGTCGGGGGCTAAAGCTGGGCCACTCTGTTCTGTAAGACTTGGACCATCATGCAGAAAACCAACCTAGGCCAAGGTCACTGAGACACAATGACATGAGACAAAGCAAGGCCACGTCATGATGTGTCTCCACCCAGGTAAAGCGAGGTCACTTGCTGTGCCATTTACAAGACACCCAGCACCCCCTCTCTCAGCTAACGTGAGCGACTGCCGCTTTTGTACCCCTGACAGCCTGTCTGTCTGTATGCCCCCCTCTCTATATATAGGATTTAGTCAGAAACCTAGTCGTGGTGTTGACTCGATTTCTGGTAAGAGCCAATCCAGGCAAATCCCCGCTTCCTAAGACTCCCCCACCCAACCAAAGCTCAAATCTGATACTCGGTTGTTTCTAATGCCCTCTGCTGAGACACCCTGAAAGTAGCAACAGGACTCCTGGCGAGGGTCAGACGCACCACTTCACCAGGAGGGCTCGAGTCAGCTCAATGTTGTCATTCAGTGGGACTCAGGCAGAGACTTGAACTTGGTAGTCTCAAAGGAGTCCCCCAAATTACAAGGACCACAGAGCTTGCGCCTTGGCCACTCAGACCTGCACTCTCCAGGCTGTGTGGAAAGGATTTTGGAGAAGCCAAGGGAAGGGACACAGATGACACACGCATGCACATTCAGATTTATTTGTGTCTGGGGAGAAATCCCACCAACCCAGGTATCGCTGGATGTCCAGCACCTCTTTTGGGCTAAAAGGCATCACGTGGATCTTGAGATTGCTAACAGAAGTGTCCACGATTCCCAAATTTTGGAGTGGGGATGGGGTTCACGGGGAGCAAAAGATCATCTCTTTGTCAAAGGTCACAAGTTCAAATCCCAGCAGAGGTCATAGAAGTCACACAAATGTGGGAGACAGATGGGCACTGGAAACACAGAAGCTCATGCCAAGGGACAAACAGCACGCACACTCTGCCTCACCGTGGGGTCTGTAGGGATTGGAAGGGACTGTGGCCAAGTGTAGAGAGCTAGGCCAGCCCAGAGGGGCCCCCAGCAGATCGCTGCCACAGAGGTAGTGAGAGCATGGTGTCACCTTATATCTTGATTTTCAAAAAATAAGCTCTGGATTTCTCCCAATTTGTAAACATTGGTGACAAAGTCAAGTTTTTAAAAAACAGGACAGACCAAACAAAACACAACTGCAGTCTGAGTGTGGTGCTGTGCTCCTGTGGTCCCAGCTACTTGGGAGGCTGGTAGGCAGGAGGATCGCTTCAGCCCAGGAGTTCAAGGCTACAGTGAGCCATGATTGCACCACTGCACTCCAGCCTGGGTGACAGAGCAAGACCCAGTTTCTAAAAAATATAAAAATAAAACATAACTGCAGGTCAAGTCCGGCCCACAGGCCCCTGTGTGGTTGTCTACTCTGGGAAAACTGGAACGGGAGAGTGCACCACTCAGCCGGGCCCTCCCTCCCTGACCTGGGCTTGCCAGCAAGGAAAGCATACAGTTCCCAGGGACCCTGGGTTTGCAGGGAGCAGGGGCTGCCCAGGGAGAGGACCCTAATGCTGCACTACAGGGCCTGAGCCTTTCTCACCACCAACTGTTAAGGCAACTGAACCCTATACTCATCATGGCCAATTGGTTTCTCTTTTAATCATTTTGATGAAAACATTTCTAACTGGACTATACATCCTTGCCTTCTGAAAAAGAAGATGGTACTAGGCACATCAGAAGCCACG